TTTGAATAAACAAATAAATGTCACCAGTGTATATTACAAACATGTGTGTAACTTCACAATTTGACTTATTTTATAGACTTTCCCGGGCACTCGTGCGGGCCCCCTTTAATGGAGAAACCAGTGTGTATGCTATTGTGCAAAGCAACTGCCCCTTGATGGATTATCTGAACAATAGATAGCGCAATGCTTTCACCATCGAAGGGGGCCTTTGTGCTAGAAGTGATAGCGTGTCTGGATTGGTCCCGATTTGTTTTGCTTCTGAATATTATCAGACCAAAATTGCTTCAACAAATCTACATGGTACAGACGTGCAATATACAAATGGTTGATTCCAAATACAAGTCAACTTCTCTTCCTTGAAATGTCCACGTCAAGAAAGATTTGTTACCCTAATCAGGTGCTGACGCGACCTTGTTGAAGTCAACTTCATGTATCACTGTACTGGATATTCAATCTGTTTACATCATCCTCCACAAGAAAGCCACCATTCACCATTTTCACACGTTATTAATCTTGGCAAAATGGGACGTCCTGTTTGATCGTTATTAATCGTGTTTTCCTCCATTTTTCAGCAACTATAACCTGTTGCCATAAAAAACCCAAGAGTATCAATTGAATTCCGTGACTCTCAAACACAAGAAGTGCTTGTTCACTGCTTGCCCCACCTCCGATTCTTGAGATATAAATCATAGAAATAGATCGACAAATGTACAGGAAATCATTTGTCAAAACTGGTTGAAGAGTTTGTGGCGTGCCTGACGTCCATGTACTCTAGGCCCGACGCTCAGCCAGTACTCACTCAATCCCGTGTCAAAAAAACCAAAAGCTTTCTTCATATCTGGCTGTCCCTGTTTGTTTAGGTTTGGAGAAAGTTGATAGTGTTTTCCTGCCTTTGGTAAGAGAGATCCTGTGTGTTTGTTCACCTTTGCCGGGCTGACACCGGTAGTTAGTGCACAGACAGTGGGATGTGAGAGCCCTCAAGCTGACTGTGTCTTCATGTTTCATTAATACTAGCGATAGTTGACTGCGCCCACTCATGGAGTGATAATAGGACAGAGTATAAAGCTTGAGGCCTGCTGTCCCCCTCAAAAAAATGAAAACCTCGCTTTTATTTTTGACATCAACCTGACAAGTTTCCAGTGAGAAAGGAAAATATTCTGGGGCTGTGTATGCCATGTATGCCAGTCACTGGCGCTGTGATTGGCTGAGTTAGGAATCAGACGCTCGAGTGAACCAATCAAATTCTAGATTGCCATAAGCCAAGGACATAGTTTTCGTGCAAAACTTGTCACTTTGCTTATATTAATGTCAGAAAGTTTCCGGTAGATGAAACGGGATAATATCTGTGTTTTGAGTGGACGTCCGGTCTTGCACTCCGAAGAACAATCTCTGTACAGCAAAATATTGGATGCTGTGAGCGTGTAAACAAAGTCAGACAGCAGACTCTAATGCAGTGTTTCCAAAAAGCAAAAACATATTTAGGCTATAGGTTCACAAGTTAAACAGTTAGCTTATCACATTTTTCAAGAGCTTTTTCATTGGCTCAGGGCTCTGAGAAAGTAAACACTACTGGGTAGCTTGTTGCTTCAAAATGTATGTAACTCAAATCATTCAGGCAAAAAGTTTGCTGTTATAACTTGAAATGGAACTTTCTGAACAATTTTTTTTGTGTGTGGTAATGTTTCCCTTGTACTGTGGTGGGGGGGGGGGGGGGGGGAGGAGAAGATGAAAACTTTGCTGAAAACTTTGTCCTCTTTCAGGATTTAGCATTCCATTTAAAAGTAGTAAAATGTTCATTTGTTATTTACTTTCAGGATGGAACAACGTCTGTAGTGGGAGTCAAAAAGTTGAGAAAGTTTGAATCACTGGCATAAAAAAATTGAGCCACGGTGTGCCATTGTAGATAATTGGAATAAGAAATATGAAATTGATATTATTTGCTTTGTAAGAAAATAAGAATGTCCTGAGTGAGAGGTTATGCGAGGATCCCAAGGGGTGCACAACTGACCTAAATTGGCCTCAGATTGTCCATTGTCATTCAAATCATGGACATTTCCGGAGGTCCTGTATATATCGGCTCAGTGTGTTCAAACACGGCATGAAACATGATGATCTCTTACAGCGGGGCCTGGCTTGCCAAAGAAAACCAAAGACAGAGTCCTAAGAGCCGAGCCAAAAATATATTCCGTTTGCCTGAATTAATAATGAACTCGGAAATGCACACGAGCATGAAGAATGGATGCATTTTTAATGGCGCTTGGTGGCGAGGCTTTCAATCATCAGAAGGAGTTGGCACCGAGTCCGATGGGATTTGGCAAGGGAAGGAGGGAAAGTACAGTTGCTTCAACAAACCGTCTCATTGCACCGCCGCCGTTTTTTTTTCCTTCATCTCTTGAGCAGACGTCAAAGTCAAAAGCAACTTTGGCGCACTCTCTTATGAAAATTATAGCTATAATTGATTTTTTCTTGGCTGTTTTATAATCCAGTTGATATTGTTCCTACTAAGGCCCCGGCAATATCAAATTATCCGCTGAGTTTCCAGAGATTTGATGGCAGATCGGATTTCGGAAGGCCAAGGCTTCATCAATCAGAGAATCGCAATAAAGGCGCATTGAGAAACGGCTATCATTCACTTTCTGGCCCGAGTAGACTAAATTCATCCCTTTGGGGAAGGAACGATTTAACTGAACATGGCATTTTTTGTTAAAAAGACAATCTCAAAGTACATGAACTTGAAAGTATAATACCTGGGCAGCTATTAAAAATCATAAATGGGAGAACTTTCTGGAGCAATTCAGCTCTGCGCTGAACGGACAAAAGGTAATGAACCAGTAATACGTTTGACTGGAGATTTCCTTGTTCATATACATACATAGCTTCCTTTGTTGAAATTTGACTCTAGAATTTATTCATTGTCATTGCTTACTAATACTAAAGTCTTGTTATGGTAGTAAAGGATTTCTATACACATATTTACTGCAACATACTTGAACCATCTCTGATAACAATAGTGATTGGGTATTGCATGATCAAATGAAATTGACAGTGGATGAAATTGTTTTGAAATTCTGAAATAGTTTGGTGTGCACATGGATTATCTCTAAGCCCTCTTGAAATTGAAATTGCTTAGATTTCAAAACCCCGGTCTTGAAATTTACATCTCGTGAAAAAAAAAAAATTGAAGTAATCTTCGCCGATGATTTTGCAACCGTCTGAGCGTGATCGTGGCAAGACCTGAGTAGATTGATTGCTGGCATTACGATATCCATGACTGGATGGGGTATTAGGCATTACGCTCATTATTGTTTCAGCGCCCGACGCGAAGAAAGGTGACTCGGGCTAAAGACAACATCAGTCTGAGCCGACTGCTGAGTCACCTTGATGTGAGACCAGAATGAAAACAAAAGAAGGGGACAGTTTTGGAATACTGGGTGGTTTATTGTGTGTATTTCTAGTCTGGTATTAATACAAAGGTCAATTAGTTTGTGAGGGATTGTTTTGTTAATTTGTGTGTAACAAGACTAGGTTATAGCTAGTTAAGCTTGACCCAGAAGTCTCAGTTGAGGACAATATTTATGCCCAGATTGACTCAGTCGGGGAGTCAGTCAGTCAGTCTGTCTGTCTGTCTGTCTCCCCATCAGTCAGTTAGTCAGATGATAATACTCAAAATCACTGTGTTAACCAGGAGAAATGAAGAGTGAAGTGAAGAAAGAAGAATAATCCTTATGAAAACGAGGGGTGTTTGAGATTGCAAAATATTTGTAAACTTGAAAAATGATTGTCAGCATTTGCTGAAGCTTTTAATTTTTGGATGGTTGGTTGAGGGCTGTACACAGTCCAGTCTACTGTGTAACACTCTGTAAACTTGAGTTGTGAAACGAACTTACATGTATGCATCCAAACAATACATTGTACACATTTTATTTTACATGTACAAACAACAATGTACATATATGTTCATAACTCATAATAAGCGTAAAAGCTTTTACGTGTACTTCTCATAACATTGCAACCTATTTGTACAAACCGTGTTTGTTTTTGGCGTGGAAATTGAGACATATGTTTACGACAGCTTGGGTCTTTCGACCCTCCCAGCAAACAGGATTTAGTGTTTGCAATGTTTAGCCATGACAACAGGCAAATCAATTTGAAATAAGCAATCGGCAAAGTGCTGTATGGGTTATTTGGATACCCGCTGCAATGTTTGTGCAAACGTATTTAAACATCAAAGGGCAATGCAGGACTGGTGTCTGGCGCGATACAAATGGCTGTCTTGCTGTCGGGATATTACGTTATTGTGTTAATCATTACTACTGATATGGTTGTCTGTATGACTTGACAAATGTCTGTTGCATGTATGCGTAGCTGGCTTACATGTACACACAAGTCATTTTCGTTTTTTTAACAGAGTAGCCATTTTTTTTTCTTACAGTTTGGATGCATGGGCATCCTTTCAATTTCAAATGGTGTCGTAAAGCCAGTCAAGTTTCAACTGGTTCTTATCAATTTTTGCCCCATTTTTTATTTGTACTTTTTATTTAAAACCTGGTTCGGTTGCCTTTTGATGCTCTCTGAATTTCCATATTCCTTCTACTTCCAGAGAAATTTTACTGCAGAATTTGTTGTCACTTCTACTTGGAGCTTTTTTTGTACTTACAAGGGGTATGACCATATATCCAGTAATGAAACCCTTTTTGGTCATTTCCTTTAAAAAAAAATTGAATCATGCAAACCCTGACAGGGAACATGACACTTGTGTTCTTGGGCAAGACACTTTACCACAATTGCCTCTCTCCACCCAGGAGTATAAATGCATGCTCTGTGAGAGTAGAGATTTGATTGTGCTGATCTCAAGCTGCTGCAGCAAAATGGTCTCATGGCCTGATGAACAGGGGTAATAATTGTGAAGCGCTTTGAGACTGTTGGTAACAAGCACTATGTGATTGTGAGCACCTCATAATTATTTTCATTTTTATATATTTGAGATCTTGCTATCCCTCATGTCTTCGTCTTATTCTTCTCCCCTCTTGCACAGTAGTCGGCCGGGCAGACCTCCTAAGCGCAGCCTACCCCTGTCTCTGTCACAGACGGTGCACATGCTCCATGGCTTGCAACAGGGAGACCCACTCAAGAAGCCCAAGATGGAAAATGGTAAGATGATTTCCATTAAATTATGAGATTTTTTTTTCTTTTTGGTTGAATCAGAGCAAGTTTTACCAATGGTTTCAGGGAAGTTATGTTTATGTTGAGGTAGAACAGTTAACCTCAAAATACTCGTACAGTTCTTGATCCGAACATTCCAGCACTCGAATATACCCAGAGATTTCTAAAGTTGCATTGACAAACAAATATGTAATAAGAATTCCCCAAATTGCTGCTTAATAAGAATATCGTTTTGTACAACTTGGGTTCATAATTAGTATTTTCTTATTCATTCTAAAATGAATGTTATAGTACCAGTGTTACAGACTAGTTTGGGCTGCTGTAATTGTTTTCAGCCTTGTTTTTTTGACAGCTTGATTACTGGTCAGCATTGACAGTTGTTGGTCTCTCAGCATTGTTGGCTTTAATAGAATAGTGAAGAAAAAGTCTTGAGGATTAAGTGTCTAAACTCTAAGGATTGTAGTCCCCCCCTCCGTCCCTGCCTTCCCCTCCCTAGATGCTTGGTAGTCTAGAGTCGTCTGCCCCATAAAATCCTGGTACACTCCTAGTACTCCCCCCACAAAGGGTAATATTTCTCAAACCACCTCCACCTCCAAAAAAAGTGTGTTGTGTCTGATAAAAAAACCTCCCCCTCCCCACACTAGCTTTTGGCCCTCCCTCCCCTGCCTCCCCTGATTAAATCTAGCAATCCAGGTACTTGCATGCCAACTTTGTATTTTGATAGGCCGCCTCATGAAATTAAAAGACTTACCCAACTGTTGCCCCATCCCATTTCTTCCCTCTCCCCCCTCCTTCAACGTAAACACTTCATGCCGGGAGCTTTACAACTCTTAAGGGAAACGTTTTTCCTGTTCATACACTCCTGGTGTTCATTATCAAAGTGGATGATTTACTTGTCCGGCGTAATGGAATTAGACAAGCAGAAACGTCTCAACACTCCAATTTTCCCCCTCTGCAAAAATAATTGCTTTGGGGACCGGGGTTTCTAACACAAGAGACAGAAAAAAAAGTATGGTTTCTTGTCTAGAGTTTTCAGCTATTGATATCAACTCGGGACACTTAATTTCACAATTTGAGTATGATTTCTTGAGTTTGTTGGGGATGTGAAAATTGCCGCACGCTGCAAAAGCAGATATAAAGTGGTTAGAATATACAACTGCAGTTTCCATAAAAGTGCCAAAAACAGAAGATCTTATGAGAGAATGTTGAAAACAGACTGTGGTGAAATTGCCACATTGTAAGCGACCAGCATTGGAAAAATATTGAAGATATTGTGAAACAAATTGTGATAATGAATTGATATCGTGCATGATTCCATTTCCACTTGGGCTGATTGATAGTGTTTAATCTGTATGATTAATATTAAAAGAAAATACAGATATAAATTATACATATAGATTATATTCTCTTTTGTCTACTTTGCAATACAAGGCTAGTGGGGCACGCTTTTGCGTGCTGAATTTTGACATGACAAGGGCTGAATTATCGAAGGTTGATTGATATTTCAATGGACGCAGTATAGTAATTAGATTCTTGATGTATGACTGTTTCTAAAAGAAAAACCAAATAATTAGACATTCCATGTTGTTTCTACATGTCGCAAAGCACCATCTCTAGAAACGCCCATTCCTAGTCCTGCTTTAAATATTTAATGAAATTATGCTTTCCTTTCCCCTTGCCCTATATTTTGATATGGCCGATTGTGTTTGCTCAAAAAGACACCTGATTAAAATTAATGAAGGGCAGCTTATTGAGGGTACAGCACCAAAAACGCCAATCAACGCGGAGTTGTCAATATTGCCGGAACGGGAATTATTGACGGTATTACCCGCCAGTGAGGAGAGGAGAGCCGAAAACTAAATCCATGGCTTCAACGAAGAGAAGATGCGCGACGGCATGACAATTAAAATATTGGTCGCGGCCAGCAATTATTGGAATTGTAGTATACAGATGACATATTGTTGGAACCGACGAAGCGTGGTAAAAACCCGTGGCGCGTTTGAAGAACAAATGAAAAGGATTAGGTCTATGTAGCCAGTGTGCACCGCGCATTCATGTGTTCGAATAATGCTGGCGGCAAGGCCATGTGTCTTTCCCGCTGTATTCATCAACGGACAAAGCCATAACCAGGGTTTTTGTTAACAAAAGGGCAACTTGTTGTAAAAAGAGGATTTGACCTTGCCGTTAGGTTTTTATATTCTAGGCCCTACTGTTTCATCATTACTGGATGTTTTATTCCATCCAAAGAAAAACAAAAAATGTTTTCTGGACATTGCTCAGTGGAACTCATTTAACTGACATCCTAACAGCCCTGAATCGTTCAATTGTAATATGGTTAGGGTTTTAACCAAAAAAAGATAGCTTTTGACATGGTATGAAAATCAAATTGTTAGTTCTAGACTTTGGACTTAATACTAGTTCGTGGGATAACATTTGGCTGACAATTATCCCGGTATAATTTCTTATTTCTGGACAATGTCCCAGTGTCACCGCAATTTGTTTTTAATCCTTTTTTGCTTTTGTCTCTTGACAGAAACGTAAGTTGCGCTCTGTTTCATGAAATTGGCTTCGGGGTGTGTTCCACTTACGCAAACAAGGCAAACGTTGCTAATGATTTCTCATTGGCTATGCACAAAAAGATCGCAAACGTTGGCAACATTTACTCGAGTGGAGTGCACTTGTTTGTGATTCCTATAAAATATACAAGCCCAATCGCAGAAATATAAATACTGAAGAAAAAAATGCCAAATGGCTTGCAGAGAGCATCCATTATTAATGAACTCATAAACTGCTGCCAAGTTCATGCACTGTGCACCCCTTTGTAGCAATACTAATCACGCGAGGCCGAACAAAATTGTTCCGCTACTGTGATCACCTGAGAGATAAATGTAATTTCATTTCATTGATGTATTGTTTTGTTGATGATGTGCAGTTGCCCATGCACGCTATCGAGGCATTATGAAGTCCCGGTGGTGACTAACATTGTGCACAATTTGTAATTAGATACCGCAGGGATAATTTGTTGATTCTATTCGATGGGAAAGTATAATACCCAAGGTCGTAATGTAATTTCTTGCATTGTGATGTGCAGTTGTTGCATAAATGGATGAACGCAAGGAACAAAGACAACAAAGGGAGTGGTAATGGTACTTCATTACAACAGAGACACCAATCTCAACAAAACAAGACTATAGGCAAGCCTATTAGCCAAGCTGGGCCCAGAGGGTACCAAAGTCTATTCAATTGACTCAGAATGGCTATTCACTATTCACAATGGGCTGGATTTACCCCATCCATTGGCATTATACATGTAGGGTAATCTCATACGACAGCACTGCCCGACAAGTGATAGTTACATGTAGTTTGTCAGCAAGGGCGGATCCGGGGGGGGGGGGGGGGGGGGGGGGGGGGGGGGGGGGGCAAAGGGGGCCATGCCCCCCCCCCCTAAACGAAACCAATTTTTAATTTTTTTTATGTGACATCGCAATAAAGGCAGGCAATGAGTACACCACCATTTTTACCTCAAAAAACATTTGGTTAAAGTGGTCAGAAATTGCCTCAGATCGCACCACAGAGCATTTAGTATTAATATCCAACACCAGCATTTAGCACCCCACGCCGTAATTTTTTTTACCCACTTTTTGGGGGACAAAATTTTTTGGCCCCCCCCCCCAAAAAATTGTGTTCTGGATCGGCCCTTGTCAGGCAGTCAGTCAGTGAGATATGTGTAGGTACAACAAGAACATCAGGCTGGCCCTCTTGTATTGGTTTTTTGTATGGACTGATTTTAATTAACCCCTTCCACTTCTCCGTGCTATATACAGTTTAAAACTACAGTTGCATACAGTTTAAAACTACAGTTGTAGAAGTTGTAGCAATGCCAATTTTAAGAGTATAAGAAGAAATTGAAGCTGTGTAGCAGAAATAGCGCCAGAAGCGACTGTTGCATAAAGGAAAAACACCTTGTTTTTCAGTTCAGTTTCTTTGGAGCACAGGAAAATTAACAGTATTGGCATTGACAATTTTCCAACTCAAAAGCCACCCTGATAATGATGGCTCGCCCATCTGAAATGAAAAGTGCAATGATTTATGCCGTCTGAATGGCCAATAACGTTAATGACGTTCTGCTCTTAACTTCAAGTAATTGTCGGGCGAGGAGGCAATAAAATAACTGTAATTATCGCTGACCTTGCGTTATATCAGTTTTTGCTCAGTTGCTACTCACGAGTGCAATCATATAGCATTAGGCGGTTTCATCGGATACCACAGACTTTCCCTTGTACCAAATAGAAGGCCCAAGGGCATTTTAATTAAATTGATCACAGATGCTTTTCAAAGATTATAAAACTCTTTTTTTGAAAAGATAATTCTGAATATGTATAGCGAAAAAGTTACATAAATTCATGCAGCAGAAAGAATGGAGGAGTATGAACCTTTCTGGGACTTCAAAAATATCTACATATGTAGAAATGCACAGGATGCAATATACAAATGAAAGAAGATTATTTAAAATACAAATTGGAACTATAGTCCTTGATTTCTGACAGCAAAAAGTTGCTTGAAAATAGGGAATGGATGAGGGAGCGCTGTGGTACAATGATGTTTGAAGCAAGTGCCGTGGGTTCAAACCCTGACAGGGAACATGGTGCTTGTGTTCTTGGGCAAGACTCTTTACTACAATTGCCTCTCTTTGCCCAGGAGTATGAATGGGTACCTGGGAAGGTAGAGACCAGATGGCGCTGATCTCGAACTGCTGCAGAAGAAAATCTGTTTCTTCCTGTGACTATTGTTATCTAGAAATGGAGTGGACATAATACACAAGAGAGAATGAATTATTTTGAAATAAGAATCTGAAGACTATAATATTCTTTATCTGAGCAGACCCTGAATTTCCCATCATGTTTTGCACACTAATCCGTCGCCCAAGTGCCACATTTTCCTGCCGCCTGATTTGTTTAACAACATTGTTCCAGTCTCTCACTGGACAC